AACTAAACATTCAAATTTTTTCAAAACTTATTTAGAAACTACTTTGAAAGTCACATTTTGAATTAACAAATTTTTAAATTTGTGGGAGAAGAAAGCTTTGCCAAACACCCATCTTTGAGCTTGATACTTCTTTGCATACTGGGCTTGTAAAGCTTAACATTTAGTTCACTTATCTAGTAGATGAGAGTATGCTTTCAAGTTATAAAGAATTCTTGTTTTTAATTAGATTTTCTAACCATAACAATAATTGGTTTGCTCCACAAAATTCAAAATCTAGAGCCAACACTTTTCTCCCTTCGTGATTCTCTAAGCAGCTTGTTTTTCTTAGTCTACATATCAAGATTTTCTTTACATTGGGTTGATAGCCATAATCAAAGAGTTTTGAACTATGTTTTTCTTAAATGCATATAAGCAAATTTCCATTGATTTTGAAGTTTAGTTCCTGTTTGGATCCACACTTGGATACTCCTAGGATGCTGTTGGTGTGGGTATGAGTCATAACAATGCATTAGTTGTATCACATGCAAAATACCTTAAAATTTAACAGGAAGATTCCAAAACATCAATGACAAAGTAAAAGAAATACCTGGAATTATCTTTAGTCAGTCACCCAAACAAAATTTCATAAAAAGAAAAAAGAAAAAAAACCCACTCAAGTCTCGCTAAAGCAAGTTATTATTTCTTTTCAATATAATATGAGATTCAAGTTTTACAAGATAGATTGTACATTAAAAGTACAGTCTTTCCTATCAATTTACTTAAATACCTTTAATAAAATTAATTCTTTTACTATTTTATTAAGGGTATTTAAGTAAACTCATAGGGTAGACTACACTTTTAATATACCATTTGTTCTATAAAATACTTTTTTAATAGAATATCATTAATCATGTATAGTGATTACTTATTACATGATATAAATTGGTAGTAAGGTGTTCTTTTATTATTTTATTTTAGGGAAAGGCTTTAATTTCACAATGGAAAGTTGTAATATGGATCCTACCTTTTCTATGGAGAAAAGTGGTGGTCGTACAAGGAATTCAAGTTGCCCATGCTCGTCTGTTCTCTTTACTTGATTGAAATGGGAACAACAAAACTCATTTAACATTGGCCATGCTGTTGTGTGCTTCCCTGGGTAGAAATATTGGAGTCTTGGTAGCACCTCAAGCTTGAGACTTGATACTCGAGGAAATTCAAAGTTGATAATTACTTCAGCTCCTTGTTCTCCTATTGCGACGATTTCCTTCACCCCGCACCAGCATAAATGTAGCTTTTGGAGTTGCACAAGGCTTTTGCCTATTGAAGTTGGAAACAAATTTTTGAGACTCCTACAACAACTTACCTCCATTGATTCCAAGTTGTGAAAAGTGAGTATTCCGTGGGGATCCTTATTCCACACATGCTTCAATCTTTGTGGATCATCAATAATCAATTTTCTCAACTTGGTGTCAATTACAACATGTGTTTGTTTGACATTGAACTTGTCAATTTCAAATATCCCTTCTAGCGGGCCACATTGATTTATAATTAACTCCTCTAAGGATTCCAAATTCTTCCCTTTATATCAGCAAATGGAAAAACAGCTTATAGCTTTCACACTTTTCGATTGTTAATGATTTTAGTCTGCAAAAAGAATCTGCATATAGTTTGCCGTGTCATATGATCTCCAAGTTTTTCAAGTGGGTGATAGTCACCCATTCCAAGTTGGGAAAGCAACCTACGTAATAAATGAATGTATCATGCCATTGGCAGTGAAAGGAGGATAAGGACAATTATTAGTCCCTAAAATTAAAGCTGAAATAAAAATGAAATGCAGTTTTTGGTAAGAAACTATTATATATGTTGTGGGGTGATTTATTCGGATATAATGACAATCCTGGTTTAGCTTAAAGTAATTCTTGTCAATAGAAATATATTTCTTGAACTGTAGCACCTTTAATCTTTAACTTTGTCAGCAATGAGAGGGTAATTTGTCATTTACCTTTATGCAAAACTTTAAAGCTGCTTAAATTTAGAACAAAAAGTCTTCATTAAGAAACTAATTACCTTGTTGCTGAAAAACGCTTGAGGGTCCTCTTTCTCTAGCTTTCTAGGGAATGTCGAAGCAAATGTAGCCATTTTTGGACAGTTGAGTACTTCAAATCTTGTTAACAATTCGCACTGGAATGTGCAACTACCCACATAGAAACTTGTCAAGTCTGAACAAGACTCCAGAATAATCTGGCTCAAGTAAGGGAGTATGATCTTATTTTCTGATCCTTCTTCCATTATCACTGCATCCATTCTTGTGCTGTGTTTTACCTCCAAATGATCAGGTTGCACAAGGCTTCTGACCATAGATAGGGTCAACAGGTATCCCAAGCTGTTGCAATTACAAATGTCGAGTCGAAGAAGGTCTCTAAAATCTAAGATTTGAAGACTCTTAGTATGCCAATTTTGAATCAGTTCAGGAAACTCGGAGAGACTCAAATTCATCAAACCAATAAATCCGACCTGCCAAATCCAAGAAATTAATTGCTAATTATAACGCAAGAAAACGGTAGTAAATTTACAAAGAAAAAGAACCATAAGAAAACAGAATAGGTGACTTCAAGCCTGCGTTTGATAAATTTTTGCGAGTCAATTCGTACCTTTACCGTATACATTCTTTTGATGGTGGCATTGAGGTCACCTTCCAATTTCCACAATTTCCCTCCCTGTACTTGCACCAACCGTGGTGTTTTTGGAGTCTTAGAGAAGATCTCCAATTTAGGGTAGTTTTCTACAATTAGTTCCTCCAGATATGGGAAATCGAAGGTGAAATTCCCAGAACAGAGACATGCTAGTCTTATCAAACCTACAAGTTTCAAATATCTCAAACTGCTGAAAATGATCGGATCTTGTGTTCCATCTCCTTCGGTTCTGACTATTTCAGTTAGCTTGTGGCAATATCCTACAGTCATACTTTTTACGTGCACCAGGCTTTGGACTGTTGCAACTGAAACCAAGTTCTCCATTTTATGGCAACCCATACAAACAAAGTTGTGAGATTCTTGAATGATGTCGTGGATGTCGATAAACTGATCAAATCAGAACACCAAATTACTTTAAGTGTGTTGAGATTTTGAAGAACATGCACTTGATGAATCTCTGCTCCAAACATGCCTAAGATTGGTAATGTATTCGAGCTTTAATGTTTTAATCCTCGAGAGTTGCGTCTCAAAGTGTTTCTGTTCTTCTTCTTCAACCTCTCCATGTCCATGTGAAGGGAATAACTGCTCGAGAGAACAATATGTTAAAATAAGTTTTTCCAAGTTGTAGAATCTCTGGAGAAAGCCGATTGGAAAAATAGATAATTCACCACCACCGAAAATCCGAAGGACGTTTATTTCAAAGAAGTCTTATTTAAATCGGCGATCAAGTATCATAGCGATTTCATCTTCTGATAAGGACAATCTCTCCAATTGGGGGATGATCTGGAAAGGAAACCAATTCAAACAAAACAATCAGAAGATTATTAACTGGACTTATGGGGTTTCATAACGGCTACTGGCAATGGGCCTGTTTACTTTTTTTGATGGAGATGGAGCTGACTACTGAGAGCGAGACCAGGTATGGAATGTTCGAGTTAGTTGTCTGCTGGGCCCTTTGGTTCTTCAATAGCAACAGCAACTGGGTTGCATTGTGAGGAGAAGGATGGCGAGGATAAGGGACGGAAACAGAGACTTGAAAACATCAGGCCCAGGAACAAGGAGGTAGTTGAGTCTTTTTGTTTTTGCTTTTAGAATTATGATGAGTTTTAATTAAATAGGGGTTTTTATCTCTTTAGCAGCGTTTTAAAGCAATTTATTTAAAGACCATATTTAAATTTTCTCTTCAACAAATTTAAAAATTTGTGAGGGACGAAGAACCAAACATGCTCTTAGATTTAAATAGGATTTTAATTCTATTGATAGGTATATTTATGTCAAGGTTGTGTGTTTGTTTATATTAAGGAGTCATTTGGTTAGAGGCCAATTTTACTAGGAAGGTTTTATTAGGAAAATATTGTATGAAAAGTTTATAAGTTTT